TCTCCCTATACTGTGACAGCACACTCCTCCTTTCTGCCCCGGATTTCCCATGTCCATTCAACCAACTCCTGACCCTCTCTGCCTTCTCATCTTGTCTCTGGACAGGAGCTGCCCATTTAATCTCATGTATCTACTTGAGCTAAGAAGCACACTCTTCACAGCTATCATTTTATGTCCCATAGTCCAGTCTAATCTTTGTCTGAAGAGTTGGCCTTGGGAATGGTTTTAGTTTTGGGCTAACAGAGAGTCTGGGGGCCATGTCTTCCAGGGTCCCTCTAGTCTCAGTCAGACCATTAAGTCTGGTCTTTTTACTAGAATTTGAGTTCTGCACCCCACTTTTCTCCTGCTCCGTCAGGGACTCTCTGTTGTGTTCCCTGTCAGGGTGCTCACCGGGGTCTAATGATACATACATGTAACAAATAAAAATTCTCAGAATTTCTATTTTTCATACCAAAAATTCAGATACCTCATATAATACCCTGTAAAAACAGTAATTTGTGACCCACAACTGTTTCTTCAGTTTCAAACAGTCATGAAGGCCCCTGCTTTGCAGCACACACACTGTCAGTGGTACAGCAGCTTCCCAATAAACCTCAGAGGCTGAAAAAATTCATGGTCATTATATGTACCGCTGGGCACGAAAGGGTTTTAAATAACAGCTCAAAAAGTAACCAGCTCTGTGACCTTAGTGGGCCAGTCACATCCCTTCTCTTTGGGTTCAGTTTCCTTATCTGTAAAAAGAGGCGGTTGGTTTAAATGATTCATAAGATCATTCCAAATTCTCTTTTCTGTGAAGTGACTCAGGATGTCTACAGGGGCTTGAAGCACAAATAGTTTTGCTTTTAATTATAATCAGTAGTTAAAACTGAAAAAAATTATTTTTTCAATTGAATTTTAATTATATTTGGGAGGTCTTGCTGTTAATCATGTAGCTTATATAAATAAGTTTGTATTTGTTGCTGTGTGCAGTTGAGTCAATTCTGACTCATAGCAACTGTATAGGACAGAGTAGAACTGACCCATAGGATTTCCCTAGGCTGTAATCTTTACGGGAGCAGATTGCCAGGTCTTTCCTCCCTTCAAGTGGTTGGTGGGTTTCAGCCCTCAACCTTTCAGTTAGCAGCTGAGTGCTTGACCACTGTGCCACCAGGGCTCCTAAGTTTGTATTAGTCAATCAAAATACTGATGAAGCAGATGTTCTAATTCTCATGGAACTCAGGAAAGACAAGACCTATTGCATAAGGGAGGAGCAATTACTCCATAAATTGGAACTGATAGTCGCTCCACACTGTAAAACTTGAAGAAGGAAAGAGGACAAAGGTCGGCCACTAATCTCATGGTGAGAGATCATGGGAAGGCAGGGAATTTACCCAAGGAGGACAAATAAAAGGTGGTTCAGTTCAGTCTTTTGAAATAGGTTGAAAGATGATAGGGAGCAATGCTCTCCTTAGCTTTCTTAATTTCATCTACTCTTCAGTTCTGAGTTTACTTCCTCCAAAAAATCCCTAATCTCTTTCTTCTGAATGCCTATACATGCATTGCCCTTATCATTCTTTTTTTTCCCCCAATTCAACTTTTACAGATGTACAACTTATTGACAGCAATTACAATAATCAGCTGTGCAATACCCTTAGTCAATGCGATTTTCCACCTTATCATTCTTTTGATGAAGAGTACCAGCTCTGGAGTCAGGTTGCTTGGTTTCCAAACATGGCTCTCCAGCTTACTAGCTGTGCCTCCAGAGCAGGTTTCTTAGCCTCTCCTAGACTGCCTCTTTAAATGTACAATGAGCGCTGTAACAACGATGCCTTTGGTAAAGGGCTTCTCTCAGAATTTATCTCCATGGCCCTTGTAATGGTTAGCACAGTGCCTGGCACATTGTGACTGTTGTATTACATGAGTGTTATATGTATCTTGTAGCCTATCTCTTGGGTATGTACCTTGTTTCCCAACTTGATTGTATGGCTTACGAATTAGTTCACATAGACCAGTAATGAGAGAGATAACTAAAGGGCAATTTGGGGCTAGATTATGAAGGACCTTAACTATCAATTTCCCCAGGCCTGCTCTGGGCCCACTTCCCACTCTAGTATAAGCCCTGAATCCACTTTAAGTTGTGGCAATGTGAGTTCTTGACCACTGCCTATCCCACTCAACAGCAGCCAGTCTAATCACGCATTCAGACAACTGGCCAAAGACCTGAGGCTGTAGTGCACATGAGATTCCAGATGGTCATTGTATTTAGGAGCTGTTTATGATTTTCTTAGGTACTCTTGGCTACTGGGCAATGGGTAATTTCGTTATTTCATCTAAGTCAAATCACACAGAATACAATCTATGCCCTCCTCCTTTAGTTCTTCTCATGGTATGGAGATGAGATAGCTTGCATTTGCCTTATCAAAGAACCTACTGTCACTGTCTGAACAATTCGTTTGCAACAAGCTCAAAGGTTGTCCATGATTAATATACTGAATCATGTCCTTTAAAAATGCTTTCTCAGTTTTGTTTCTCTAGCTTTTTTTCCCTCAACAGTATGACTTCAGGTATTTGAAAAAATGATAAAGTTAATACTGGTACATATTGACTCCTACCCACAGTGAAGAAAATGCTCAGTACAGCAGCCTAGAATTGGCAAGGCTGGGTTTCCTTACAGGTTGGTGTGAGAGGTACATTTCAACCTGGTATAGGTTGAATGCAGGGCGTTGAGAATTTTAAATCTCTTCACCATCACGAGAAATATTTGGAAAGTTTGTATAAGGCCCTCTGGCTGCCCTCACCCCTCCGACGCTCCATGGATGACATTTCCTCATCTGTAGCCAGGTTTGTAGCTCCCTCTTTCATGTTTCTTCTCTCCACTTCCATTTTATCTTAACTTTAGAAAATGAAGTTCTAATTATTTTTTAGTCCTATTTTGTCAGAATACACCTGCAGCCACACAAAAATTTGATTATAGCTGTATAGTGCTGTGGAAAAGCTTGCAACTGGATTCCAAAATGACAGGCAGTGTAAATTACAAAGTACAAAACAGTGTATGGTAATGCACTCTCAGCAATAAATAAAAATAACTTTTTCAGAGGAAATAACTTTGGAAAAGAGAGAACTAGGCTGGAGCAGGAAACAATCTTCGTTGTTAGGACAGGAAGAGCCACATTTAGGAAAGCACCTTAAGGGCAAGGACAATGGGCACATTTAAGAGACTCTTAATCCCAGGCAATTCTCCAAGGGTTAAATTCAGAAATTGCATTACAGATTTGCCAGTTTCTTTCCTAAAGACATACCCGTTGCTGTCCAGTCGATTCGACTCACAGCGACCTTATAGGACAGAGGAGAACTGCCCCATAAGGTTTCCAAGGCTGTAATCTTTAAAGAAGCAGATTGTCACATCTTTCTCTAGCAGAGCGGCTGGTGGTTTCCAACCGCCGACCTTTAGGTTAGCAACTGAGCTCTCAACTGCAGCGCCACCAGTGGTCCTTTTTTCTAAAGATAGCTGTTATTGTGTGTCCTCCAGTCGATTCTGACTCATAAGACCCTGAAGGGCAGAGTAGAACTACCTCATAGCATTTCCTAGGCTGAAATCTTTAAGGGAGCAGATCACTAGGTCTTTTCTTCCCCAGGGCTCCTGGTGGGTTCGAACTGCCAACCTTTCGGTTAGCAGCTGAGCGCTTAACCATTGCGCCACCAGGGCTCCTTCCCCTAAAGATATACTGGACTTTATTTCCCAAGGACCACTAATTCAGCATTGTTGAGTACCTAAATTGAGCCGAGGACTGGCTCAAGGGATTGGGTTACAAAGATGGAAAGAGCACAGTTCTTATCCTCACGCGCTTCTAATCTTTTAAAATAGAACAGAATAGGGAGTAGGTACAAAGAGCCCTGTGGCAAAAAGAGCACGGAGACAGAAGCAACTAAAAGCCCAAGCCAGGAGTACACAGGGCTCCACAGAGGAAGTGAGCTGTGATTTGAGGAACACTTTTGCTAACCTTTTTTATCTTTCAAAACCAAATAATTAGAAGAAATAAACAGATCATCCAGAAGAGAAAGAGTTGGGATGAAAGGAGACTTTATATCTAAGGTTTAGAACACGTTTATCTGGAGCAAGGACTTGTACAAAGCCCCTGAAATCGTCAGCGAGGAAGGATTCAGATTGCAAATGAGTGATAACTGATCAAACTGACTATGTGGAGTGTCTTCTACAGACTTGCACCTTTGGCATTCAGTAAATGTTGCTGCTGTTCTTGAGTATCACGTTAGGGGCTGGGAGAGAGTTCACCCACTTCTCTCAGATTTTGGACACAACAGGAGCAGAAGGCTAATTTCATGGTTCCAAACCCTTTCCTCCCCTCCCACCTATACAGCTTTAGTGTGTGCGTTTGTGTACGCAGGGATTTTTGAGGTTTTCCCAATCCTCTTTTGAATAAAGAAATTATACAAGCATTCAAATTAGCGGGAAGGCGGTTAACACCCGCCGCCCGGCCCACTGCACGGCTCACTGCCCGTCCGGGTTCGCTCCGCGCCGCGCCGCGCCTCGGGCAGAATCCTAACAGCCCTAACCCCGCCGTGGTAGCAACAGCTCGCAATCGACGCGTGCCAGGCCTTGTGCAGCCGGAACTATCAGGCCGGCGGTCAGTTCCTAAGGCGCAAGGACCGAAGCGAGACCGGGCCTTGAGCCGCTGTTGACGAACAGCACTTACAGCCAATTGGAAGCCTGGTCGGCTTTCCTCCCTGCCAATAGGAGAAATAGGACCCAGGCTGGGGAGGGAGGGGGTGCTTCCCGCGGGCTGCGGCTGGATTCGATTCCGTGATGCAGCCGTGAAGGCGGGGGCGGAGGCTCGGTTTGGTCGGCGGGGAGCGGATTTGGGGAGGAGGGAAGACCGGAAGCCACGGTCTCGTCCCCATCCTTAGATTCGCTCCCCCGGGCAGGGAGCGGAGACGTCGGAGGAGGGAGAGGCTGAATGTTGGGTCGGTGATAAAGGGGAGCGGCCGCTCCGGAGCCACCTGGGGGCATTCCCCCGTCATCCCAGCCGCTCTCCGCACTCACCCGGTTCCCCCGCGACTAGGCGCGCGGCCGCCGCGGACCGTTCGGCCGCGCCGACCTACGCAGAGGCGCTGCCCGCTGCGGGGACTGGCCGGCGGCATCCGAGGCCCGCGCCCCGCCGCCACCCCCGTCCGTCTGCCCGCCGGTCCCTCAGGTCGCCGCCATGTCCTCCTCCTCATCCTCCCCCAGGGAGACGTACGAGGAGGATCAGGAGTACGAGAGCCAGGCCAAGCGCCTCAAGACTGAGGAGGGGGAGATCGACTACTCGGCGGAGGAAGGCGAGAACCGCCGAGAAGCGACGCCCCGGAGCGGGGTCGATGGCGGCAGCGGCCGGAGCTTCTCACAGCCGGTAACAAAGCGCAGCGCCCTGTGTGCGGTGCCTCGCGGTCGCCCCGGAAAGCAGGGCCCCAGGCTTCCTACCTGCCCGCCTTGTTCCCTTTTCTGCTGCGCTGACCGGCTCGGGAAGCGCCGGCGGTTCTGTTGGGGGCTTTTCTTCTTTGCTTGTTTCCCGCATCTCGACCGCGAACACGGCCCCGGGCTGACGGAGGCCCTGCGGCGAGTCCCGAGTCGGACCCTGAACTTGGGGAGGGGAGGGTCGCGAGACTGGGGCGGTGGGAGGTGCTGCTTCCGCGGCAGGGGCTTTGGTGCGAGATTAGCTCTTTGTTGGTTTAACTCCTCCGGTTTTTGGCGGACGACCGGCTCTCTTCAGCTCTTCTGCCTACAGCTTCCGCGCGCTGCTGCGACCCGTTGGGGTGGTCGGGGTCGCAGGATGGGTGCGTCTGTGGTTCCACAGAGGGCTCTCCTTGCCTGGGTCCTGAAGAGAGCCGTAACTAAATGACACATTATACCCTGGCACTCTCATGCTAGTTTCCATGAGGGTTTAATTTAAAATGTTTACTCTTTGCAGGTATAACGTGTATGCTTTGGTAGTTTCGTGATTATTCTGTGCAATTTTGAGTTCCTCGGTTAAAGAAGTGTGTTGGTAGGTGTGTTACTACACCCCTGCTTTCAAGTAAAGCAGATCAGAAAATCATCTCAGTTGTTCGTTGGCAGTATTGCACATTTGCCTCACGAAAGGAGGAACTGAACTCAGGACTTCATTAAATACATGTTCGTAGATTCTTCTCTTTCATCAAAAATGTTAATTGAATGCAGAAGGAATGTGAAATTCATTTTATCCACAGCAAGTAATTATTCAGGTTTAGTTGGATACAGACTTTAAGGAAACAGCAAAGCAACCGTTTTTGCCCTTTTTTGGTGCACTTTACCTTTAACTGTCTTAATGACTTAGACGCTCTTTAAACATTTAACACACTTTGTGATAATGCAGCAAACTTTAATCAAAGCTTACAAAACTGTACACGTATATTCTGTTATTATATTAAAATGCTTTTCACTTATAAGAGGCAAATTAGAAGCCTTTTAGCTATTGTTTGAATTTTTATGTAAAAAAGTCTGGTAAATAGTGGCCCAATTGTTAGAGTTTCCACATATGATAAGGTGATGGACAAGGTTGCAACACATTTTTAAAAAAAGGAACTTTTTCTTCTTATAAATAGTTTACTTATATCTACTTATTACTTTTGATTTTTGTGCTTAGCTATTTGGAATGTTCAAAAAGTAATGTGCAAGTGTGAATAAAGGCAGTGCATTTCTTCTTAGGAAGTTTCAGTTCACAGCTAACTACATTGTTTTTAAAGATTATAAAAATAGGTATAATAGATATTTAGGTGTATTTTGTCAAGAGTCTTGTTTGAGTTTTTGTGCAGCAGCATGAAATGTCTTTTAAGTGTCTTAGAAAAATACTTAAGTCAGCTTAAAAACTTTTTTTTTAAACAGATAAAATATTAAACCTATAGTATTTTTAATGTTGGGAAGTAAATAATATATAGTTAAGGTATTCAAAGTGAATTGTGTATCAGTGGAAGTAGAACTGACAAAGGTTTTGGGGATAGGGTCAGGAGTCTAGTGGTAGCTAGCATGTAATCTGTGTGACCACGGGAAAGTCAGTTACTACCACCCTGAATTCTGTTAGTCTGTAAAACGTGAAAGTTGAACTACGTTTTCCATCCCTGAAGTCGTAGTTCAGTGATAAAAAGAATGCAGCCTTTAAATTACCTAGACAGGAGCTAATATATGCAGATTGAGTTACAAATTCTATTTTTTGTTTATCTTAATGCCGTTATATTTTTTAGGAGAGGATAAATTGTTTTTATTTAATAGAACCAATATTGTACAACGAAGTTTAATGAAGGTTTCTTTTTCTTGCTTTTAAACTTTTTTTCTGAAGTTAATTTTTGGTACTATTTTGAAATTACGGAAACCTGTATATAATAAAAATTCTATCACTGGGACAGGAATTTCCTGGATAGAAGTTTACTGACTAGTACTTCATCATCCAGAAGTACAGTAATTAATCTAACTAAAAGAGTTCAGCCCAGAGGAGAAATATTTTTGTGGTTAAACTGTCAAAGTAAAAGTAGATTAGGTAACAATGTTGAGCGATCTTTTTACCTCTAGTTGAAAGTTCGCAAAGTGAAAAGTAAGACTAAAGGTTTATATTGTTTGGCTTTTCATGATTAACTTTCCATGAGTCCTTTAATAATTTACTAACTAGATTTAAAGTAGAAAGTGAGTGTTTAAGAAATAATGTGGTTCTACCACCAAAGACACAGGGAAAGTATTAGTCCGAGAGATAGAAAGAGCCACGTAAACCAGACTTCATCAGCCTGAGACCAGAAGAACTAGATGGTGCCCAGCTACCACCAATGACTTCCCCTCAGGGAATACAACAGAGAGCCCCAGATGGAGCAGGAGAAAGGTGGGGGTGCAGAACTCAAATTTTAGTGAGAAGACCAGAAAGTCTGACTGAGACGAGAGGAACCCCGGAAAGCATGGTCCCTGGATTCTCTATCAGCCCAGAACTAAAACAGTTTCCAAGGCCAACTCTTCAGACAGGGATTGGACTGGACTGTGGGATGTAAAGTGATACTCGTGAGGAGTGTGCCTCTTAGCTCAAGTAGATACAAGAGACTAAACGGGCAGCTTCTGTCCGGAGGTGAGATGGGAAGGCAGAGAGGGTTAGGAGCTGGTTGAATGGACATGGAGAATCAGGGGTGGAAAGGAGGAGCGTGCTCCCATAGGGAGAGCAATTAGAGTCACGTACAATGTATGTATGAATTTTTGTATGGGAAAAAATAAAAAAGATACAACCTAAAAAGAAAAAAGAAAAATATGGTTCTACCAGTTACCAGATGTTGTCGAGTCGATTCTGATCGAGGTACCCCATGTCAGATAGAACTGTGTTCCATAGGGTTTTCAGTAGCTGATTTTTCAGAAGTAGATCGCCAGGCCTTCCGAGGCACCTCTGAGTGGACTTGAACTGCCAGCCTTTCAGTTAGCAGCCAACCACATTAAGTGTTTGCACCACAACCCTACAGATGCTCCTAACTTAAGGATGAATTGATCATTGTAAATGATCATGATATTTTAAGGTGTAGAGAGAAGTGAGAGAGTTAGTACTTTGGATCTGAGAAATAAGACATCTTTCACTTATGTGTCTTCTGGCACTTATTTTGAAGAGCAAAAACTCCCAGGTTTCTTCAGATTTACTTTGCGGCATTCTTGAACAAGACTTGATTATGGAGGTTTGACCACGTATTATACAATTACTTTATTTTCTTTTTTTCTAAGTTTTATTTATTTTGTTGCTGTTGAGAATATACACAGCAAAATATACACCAATTCATCAGTTCCTACATGTACAGTTCAGTGACATTGATTACATTCTTTGAGTTGTGCAACCATTCTCACCCTACATGTCTGAGTTATTCCTCCCTCCTTAACATAAATTCACTACTCTCTAAGGTTTGTATCTAATCTTTTGAGTTGGTGTTATCAATTTAATCCTATACTATAGATAGTTCTTAAAAAGAGTATAAATGCTCAAGGCAACCTTGTTTACTAGTTAAGCTAAACTTGTTTGGTTTTAAGATGACTTCAGGGGATATTTTTGGTTTAAGGTTTAAAGATTATCTCAGGGCAGTAGTTTCAGGGGTTCATCCACCTTCCAGGCTCCAGAAAGTCCGGAGTCCATGAGAATTTGAAATTCTGTTCTGCATTTTCTTCCTTTTGATCAGGATTCTGCTATGGAATCTTTGATCAAAATGTTCAGTAATGATAGTGGAGCACCATCTGGTTCTTGTGGTCTCATAAAGGCGCAATTACTTTTTTCTTGTGGAAAAAATGGTGTTCTTAAATTTAGCAGGCACAGCTTTCAATATATTACTAGTAAATTTCTGTATCTGCTTGCTTTTAAGAAATCAACTTGACTTCAAGTATTAGGGCTTTACTTGGCAAAACCAATTGAGGAATTGAATTGGGAGGTCACCTAGAAAAGAGTTGCTTTTATGAACCAAACACCTGTTGCTGGCAAGTCAATTCCAACTCATAGCAACCTTATAGGACAGGGTAGAACTGCCCCATAGGGTTTCCAAGGAGCAGCTGGTAGGTTTGAACTGCAGACCTTTTGGTTAGCAGCCGAGTTCTTAACCACTATGCCACCAGGGCTCCAAGCTAGTATCAAAAATTTATGGAGTGCTAATTCATTTTTTTTTTTTATCTCTATTCTGCTATTGAGTAAACAGATGAAAACTGTTATAGTGGTTTGTTTGATGATGAGTTAAAAGTTTAAGTTTCTCTACTTTTAATAGACTTGCAAGATGGCAAAATGACAAGATAAAAGTGTATTATTAGGCTTTCTGAACAAAGAAATATACACTGAGTTATCCAGCGTGAATCCAAGCTAATACTATTACAGTTGTATGATCTAAATTACAGAAATGATATAAATATTATCATGGTTTATTGGTTGAATATGGGATGAGAGATGGGATGAGGTCAGCTTGTAAGCTCAGCTCCCACAGGAAAAGTTTAGAGACAGTGAGCATAGTAACTGTGCTCCCAGGAATAAAAGAGTTCAAGAATGTATGCCCCAGAGCTAAATGCCTGAGCCTTGACGCAGCATCTATACCAGTAGGGTCCTGTGTCTTCTCTAGCTAAACTGCTGCAGTAGAGTGAGGATTACTTATTTTTAGGCCCAGTTTCGAGAAAGAAATAAAAAGTAGATTTTACCGTCTTTGGTTTTAATGAGTGAATGTTTCTTGGTGTGAGTACATATAGTGACTTTTTTTCTATAAACAGTTCTTTAGCTATTTATAGAGCCAGAAGTACAACCAAAGCAGTGTCTTGGCTTTGCTACCAGTAAGCTTTGTGACTTAACCTCCCTGGGTCGCAATTTCCTACCTGTCGCACAGAATGGTTACATTATATGATTGCTAAAATGTCTTG